CACACATATCATATATATACAAGCATTGAACTCACAAACCCTTATTTGATAGCTACTTTTATCAGCTAACCGATCAAAATGAGCTTCATGTGAGTACTTTTTGTCTAGCTCTTAAAGATGATAATCTTACATGTGAACATCTTAAATAACTATTTTACATGAAATGACAACTTCAACGCAAATCTCAAAGCACATTCTAAGATATTTCATATAAAAATTAAAATCTACAAAACTGCTGCTTATGATTTGACCGACGCATGGGTAATTTCTCTTGACCGGTGACGCCAGCGACTACGCAATCTAACGTTGACGCCAATAATTTGTCCCCTCAATATAAAGGACAAATTTTATAAATCTAGACCTTAATCCATTCTATTAGACTAAATAGGAATATTCTTCGAGAAATTATTAAGTGCAGTCACCGAACAGTTCGGAGGTCAATCAGAATATGTTATATCATCTGATGCATAATGATACATAGTGACGGTACATGTTATATTGATGATATGGCGCGTCCTGATTGACCTCCGCACACAATAATTTCGCTAGTCGGTAGAATGAGCATGTTAGCTACTGGTCTTTCACATAAAGTCAGCTGTCAACTAGCCCTGCCACTGATAAAATTAATTTTAAAAAATATATATATATATATATTTTAAAACGAAGATTGGAAGAGAGAAATATTAGATATTATTAATAATATTTGTATGTTTCTGTATTTAAATATTTGAATATAAGAAGAGGACGGTGAATTACTGATTTAATTTTTTTTGTTTTATTTAATATTATTAGCAATACATTAATAATAATGCTTGTAAAAGAATTAAATTTTTGTATTGTATAAATTAGAACTTTATATTAACATTAAGTTAATTTCAAAATTAAAATTATTTTCTAGATGAATTAACAAAAAAATAATTATCAATTTATAAAACATAATTTATTATCAATTTAGCATAATTTGTCAATTCATCTAGAAAATAATTTTAATTTTGCAATTACCTTAATTTAACATAAAGATCAAATTTATAAAATAACAAAAAAATTATTCTTTTACTAGCATTATTATTAATGTATTACTAATAATACTAAATAAAACAAAAAGTTTTAAATCTGAAATCTACCATGCATCCTCTTCTTATATTCAAATATTTAAATGCATGATACAATAAAGTTACAAACAAATTTCATCGACCTTAAATTACATGTCAAATCATCGATAAATATATAAGAAGCATATATGAAATCATTGAATTGCAGAATTGAGGTTTTCAGTCTTCCACGTTTAAAATAGTATTATCTAAGAAAACGAGGGACTCCATTATATTCACTCAAGATAGAATATGAGGAAAATGAGAACTTCAACCGTTTTAATTATGGACCACACCTCTTTCACACTTTAAATGTATTTATTTTATTTATGCCCACATTAAGATAAAATAATATACTAAATCTCTACACAATATTTGTCATAATTCTTTCTTACAAGGAAACGCGATTTCTAGGGCTTTCGTCTTCCTCCGTGCTTCATGTTCCGTCAGCTTCGATTGGATAATTTCCTTCTTTTTTTTCCTTAAATCTTATTTGTTTTTCTTCCAATTTTCCTTCCTTCGGCTGGTTTTTCAATTTGAATGGTTGTTAATCATTTGTTTGACACCATAATTTTGAATGGGAAGTCCAAATCGAGTCTTTTAAAGATGCTTTGTCGGGGGCTTCGACATATTAGGATTTTCCTCCGCTTAAGATCACCTCTCATTATGGTTTAACATCTTTGTGGATTTCGAATGAGGAAATGTTAGCTCTTGCGACCCCTTTTGAATTTGCTTATGTTGGAAAGTTTCCTGGGCGGCGATCGCCCCTCAATGCGATACGAAAAGTTTTCTTCAACTTAAAGCTCATTGATGATTTCACTGTCACTTTCCTTAATCCTAAAAATGTGCTGATTAAGTTAGTGAATGATCTAACACTACGGGAAAACACACGAATACCGTCGGACGTTTCGACGAATTTTTTTGCGTCGGTAAGTACGACGTTTGTACTGACGTGTTCTCACACAACTCTTACACTGTCAGCAACTGCTTTATGAAGCTTTTCAAGTGCACTCCCCATTTTGATGTTACTATGGAATCCCCTATCATTCATATATGAGTTTCTTTTCCCAACCTTCGCCCCTATCTATTCTCCCCCTGCATAATTAATGATTTAGGGTCTTTATTTGGCTGCCCCTTAAAAAATGGATAATGGTACCATTAATGGCACAAAGCCTTCAGTTGCTCATATTCTAGTTGAGTTAGATGTAACTAAACGCTATCCTGATCAAGTTTGGCTGGGTTATGAGACTATGTGTTACATTCAATTTGTGGAGATGGAAGAATTTCCATCATATTGTTGTCACTATAAAGTGTTGGGTCACTCAAAAGTTGAATGTCCTATATCGTACCCTCATTTGGCTGTTGATGCTGCTAATGACATGGTGAATGTGAGGATTCCAGATAAAAATCCTTTGAAAGGTGTTGTGGGTACTGTTGGTCCTCCTGCTTCTGTTGCGGAGGAGGTGGTGCCTCATGTTTTGAATGTTTTTTCTAATGATAATGAGAGTGTGGATTTAACTTTGTTTAATTCTAGCCTCCCTAGTGATGTGGCGAATGTGGATGTGCCTGTTCTAGATGACGTGGTTTGTGGGAATTTTGATTCATATCCCTAGTGATGTTGGCTCTCCTATCATTGTGGGCAATAAGGGGGGCAATCTGGAACCTTCTTCAGGTGTGGCCCTAGTTGTTTTTGGTGATGTGGGACTTGTGATAATGTTTTGGTTCCTGTTGATATGGCTGGTGAGTGTGAGGCGGATAAGGTTATTTGTCAAGCTAATTTGACAGTAGAGAATGAATTATCTGTTGATTTGAATATGTCTACTATTTTTCTTATGAATAATGTTGGCATGTGGCATGTGGGGTCTAAAGGAAGTGAATATATTTCTTATTTAGATGCCTATCAATCTCGTTTATCCTAATGTTATGAATGCTCAACAAATTTCTAGATTGGGGGACACTTGTTTGGTGCAATCTAACTAGATGAATGACTCATTTGGATCCCCTTACGGGGTTGAGAATGACATGGGGAATGAGCATGCTACAACTTTTCATGAGTTGTATGGGTTGGACGTAAGTCATATTGTTGATAATACTTTCTCTCGTATTGGGAAATGTCGTTGGCGTAAAACAAAAAAGAAATAATTGTGGCCTGTGTTGTGCTCGTTTGGCGCCTAGATTTGGTTCTTGTATTTCTATGGGTTGTTAGTGATTGGATCGGTGTTGTTCTTATGGGTGTTACTTTGTGTGTTTGTGTACGTGGTTGCAGTTGGGGAATTTGGTGGTTTGATTTTTCTTCTTGGTGGCTATTTCTTGCTTTTCATGTTCGATTCGTAGGTTTTGTTGGCTATATGTGTATCATGGCCGCAAGTCTGTAGTGTATCTTGGTTGATTGGTGTGTGCTCTTATTTGGGGGCTCTCGACTATACTTGTTTGTTTGTCTTTTTTCTCTGTGGTTTTGCAGGTTTCATGTTGTTGTTGTGGCTTCCTTTGGTGCAGTGATATGTTGCTATTTTGTTATGGTCTTAGTCTTTTACTCCCTTATGGTGTTTTTCTTTTATTTACCTTTCTTCTTCTTGTAATCAGTTGGATCATTAAATCATAGTTTTTTCTTCCATGATTGTATTTTTAGAGAGTTTTTTATCTTCTACGGACTATTACTTTTATCCTAATGTGAAACACGTAGGCCCCAGGTTGATTTTTCTAAAAAAAAAAGTCTCTACATAATATTTGTTTCCGTACAAAATTAAATGAGATGTCACAGAAGTCAAATACTAATTCAATTCTTAAGTAGATTAAGAATTTAATAGACTTATTTTTAGATAGCTACTTATATATATATCCCAACATTAAATATAGAAATATATAAATATTATTAATAATATCTACTATTTCTCTCTTTCAATCTCCAACAACAACAACAACAACATCAAGCCTTTATCCCACTACGTGGGGTCGGCTACATGAATCCTTTTTCTCCATTGTGTTCTATTAAAAGTCAAATTCTCATTTAAACCTAATAAAGAAAGGTCATTCCTAATATTTTCTAACTAAGTCTTTTTAGGTCTACCCCTACCTTTCTTAACATAAGTCAAATCTAATACCTCTACTCTCCTAACCGGGTCATCGAAAGGCCGTCGTTTTATGTGACCAAACCATCTAAGGCGACTCTCTCTAATTTTATCTTCTACTGGAGCTACTCCAACCTTTTCACGTATATGCTCATTTCGTATCCTATCTCTAAGGGTAAAGCCACTCATCCACCTGAGCATTCTCATCTCTGCCACACTTAACTTAGTATTATGCTTCTCTTTTAATGGCCAACATTCGGCACCATAAAGCATTGCAGGCCTCACTACCATCTTATAGAATTTTCCTTTAAGTTTGAGGGGTACATTTCTATCACATAACAAGCCCGATGCATTCCTCCACTTCAACCATCCAACTTGAATTCTGCTGATAATATCCCCATCTATTTCACCATCACTTTGAACAATTGATCCAAGATATCTAAAACGTGTACTCTTATTAATGACTTGATCGCCCAAAGTCACAATCCCTTCAGTAGGTCTATTACTACTAAAATTACACTCCATATATTCCGTTTTAGATCTACTCAAGCGAAAACCTTTAGACTCTAAGGTTGACCTCCATAATTCAAGTTTACCTTCAACTCCCTCTCTAGTCTTATCAACAAGAAGAATATCATCAGCAAAAAGCATACACCAAGGTACATCTCTCTTTCAATCTCCGTCTAAAAAAAAAAAAATTATTTTATTTTATTTTTTATAACAACTCCTTCACTGCTAACGACATTATACTCCTTAACCGGTCGTTGGGTTTGCCGTTTGCCAGCGACTGGCTCAGCGACCAGTCGCTGCCTGAATTAAAATAAATAACGGCTCTCCTCCCCTCTCGATCTTGCGCAACTCCAAATAAACCTAAATCAAAGGTAAAAATAAACAATCCCTAATGCGTCTCACCGGACGAAATCCGGTGACCGCACCTAATAATTTCATCACCACCGGCAGCCACGTAAACCTAAACCTAGCCGCGCAAACGCAAGAAATCCAGTCGGCCTTCGATGTCCTCGACGCCGATAGCGACGGCCGAATTAGTCGCGACGATCTCCGCTCCTTCTTTTCCCGCTTCCCGGCCGCTTCCGATGAAGTCATCTGCGCTATGATTTCCGCCGCCGACACTGACCGGAACGGTTACGTGGAGTTCGCGGAATTCGAGAGCATTCTTCACGCCGGCGGAGGTTGCGTCGCCGGTGATGGAATAATGGACGAGGCCTTTCGCATGATGGACCGCGACGGCGATGGGAGAGTGGGTTTTGAGGATTTGAAGGCTTATCTGAGATGGGCGGGGATGCCCGCCGACGACGAAGATGTGCGGGAGATGATCTGTTCAGGCGGCTGCGACGAGGCCTCCGGCGTTGCATTTGACGATCTTCTGCGGATTCTCGCCGTTGATTCTGGCAAGATTGGCTGGTGAAGGAAATGAGCTGTAGATGTAGCCTGGTCGTATGTTTTTGTATGCATATTATGGCTTTTAAGTGGTAAGAAGATGCGAGGGGTGAAGATGGACTGTCTTGATGAATTGATGGGATGGACTGATTTTGTATATGCCTTCCTCAGGTTGCTTTGCACGTATTTCATTGGTTCCAATAGAAAAATCTGGACCTAATAGACCAGAGTATGAGAGACTCATCCAAGGGTTGCTATCCTAAATCATTGATTCTCAGGGTTGTTCACTAAAGGTGCAAACGAGTCGAGTTCGAGCTCGAGTCCGAGGGTGTTCGAGTCGAGCTCGAGTCCGAGGGTGTTCGAGTCGAGCTCAACTGTCAAATATCAAGCTCGAGCTGGACTCGACAGAGAGAAAAAAAAGCTCGTCGAGCTACTCGAGTGGCATTTCGAGCTCAGTTCGTCTATTGAGCTTCCGCCCTCCTCGTCCCCAGCGTTCGTCTCATCGCAAGCTTGCGTCGTCGACCGTCCGAGTCCGTCGAGCTTATGTCGTTGACCGTTTGCATTTGTCGAGCTTCCGTCCGCGTCTGTTGACCTTGAGTCGTCGATCGTCTGCATCTGTTGAGCATGAGTTGTCGATCATTCGCATCCGTCGAGCTTGCATCGTCGATCGTTTGCATCTGTCGAGTCTGCATCGTCGACCGTCCGAGTCCGTCGAGCTTGCGTCTTCGACCATCTGCATCCGTTGAGCTTCCATTTGTTGGTGTCAGCTTGCGTCGTCACAAGCTTTTCCCGCGCACAATTTCATTTTTTCATGCACGATCGCATTTCCCTGTTGGCTATTTCATATATGAGCCGCTCAACGAGCTCGTGAGTCCAACAATGAGTTGTTCGAGTTCGATAAGCTATCAAGCACAAAATTGTGTTCGAACTCGACTCACAAGATCAATAAACATGACTCATCAAGCCCATTACCGAGTCGAGTTCGAGTCATCTCACGAGCTGGCATGACTCGGTTGCACCCCTACTGTTCCCACAAAACTAGGGCTCCAAGCGAACCAAACGTTCGACGAGCTACTCGTTGTTCGGTTATATTAAAGCTCGTTTGTGACCGTTTAATTAGCTAAACAAACAAACTTGAACAATATTTTAAATACTCGATTCTTAAATAAACAAACTTGAACACTAATGCGTTCGGCTAATTTATTTTCGCGAACAACATCATTTGAAGTTTGTGAACAAGCTCGATAAGAAGCTCGATAAAAGCTTGATTCGAGTTCGATTTTGAACTCGTGAATAATCTAGATAAAAATAATTAATATTTGACTATAAATTAAATTAATAAATATAAATAATCATTGCCTTTGTTACATAGACAATTGCTTTTATTATAAATGTGTTTGTTCATAGATATGTTCATGAACGTATTTGTTTGACCGCTAAAAAAAATTCTTTAAATATGTTCGCAAACAAGCTCGATAAGCACTAAACGAACGAACATGAGCTGAACATGAGCCGAACATGAACACATTAATTTAAATGAACCAAACATGAACACAAATAATAAAGCTCGAACAAACATGAACCAAACTTGAACAACCTAATATTAAATGAACACAAACATGAACACTCACATACTCGGCTCAGCTCGGTTCGTTTGCAGCCCTACACAAAACTCTCAAAGCAACTCATCCGTCGATAATCCATCAATAAAATCCACCAATCCAATCATAGGAAATGGTCACTCCAAGAAAGACAAAATCAAATTTTCATGTTCAGCTAGTCATTCATGAGGTTCCACTACCAAAAAATGGGGCTACTGCAGCACCATTTTGGACCTATACCAGCGGTTTTAACCCCTTCTATTTTTCTTGCAGCGGTTCTAATCCGCTACATATCCGCTGCAATTGCAATACGCTGCAATGACATTCCGCAGCGGTTTAAGAACCGGCGGGGTAGACATGCCGACTGTAGCAGCGGTTTTAACCGCTGCAAAGCTCCAAAATAGTGCTGGTTAAAAAAACGATATTTGGAACTTTGCAGCGGTTAAAACCGCTGCAAAGCTCCAGGATAGTGCCAGTTATAACCGCTACAAGTAATGAAAAAAACGATATCCAGTAATGTGGCGGTTTTAACCGGTACTATTCTGGAGCATTGCAGCGGTTAAAACCGCCACAAAGTTCCAGATTTTTTTTTTTAAAAACGTACCCCGAATGTCCACCGAAAACACAATTGCAGCGTGACTCCTGGGAAGAATAATAACTAGTTTTAAACACAACAGTGATTACATCCCCATCAAAATTGTTAAGCTAATAATAACCCACAACATGACTCCTGGGAAGAATAATAACTAGTTTTAAACACAACAGTGATTACATCCCCATCAAAATTGTTAAGCTAATAATAACCCACAACATGACTCCTGGGAAGAATAATAACTAGTTTTAGGCTTCACTGTCAATACAAATCTAGATAAATTGCCATTTGAAATAAGTATGTCAATACAAACTAGTATAAACAAATTACAATAGCAATGCAACCAAGCTATGCAAGAATCATTGAATAGTCGTTCCAGTACTTTTACCACTCAATAGCATCAAGGTTCATGTCAACCCACGATTCAAATCTCATCTGCATTCATCTTGGTATTCCAAAATTCATGCATCCAATATAAATAACCACAGACATCAATCTCAAGGCCATTAGCATAAATTTGATTATTTGATTTAAATCTTTATCAACACTAATTAGGAACCTAAGTCCTCCATTAATCCCACCATTGCTGAGGGGCATGACGGTCAAATAAGCACTATCCTTGTAAGTTTATTTCATTTATAAAAAGATCATGATGAATTAGAAATAGTTAAGAAATAAAAAGATAATGATGGTCAAAACGTAATAAATTATTGATCGAGATATTGAACTTGCATCATCATCTCCAAACAAACCACTATTCCAATGAGAGAAGAATTTTACAAACACAAACAAAGGCAAAATGCAAGCTTCATACTACCTCACGAATATAATGCCCACAAACATATATAAGAGCTATGAAAAGTGCTTAAAATAACCATGTAATGGCCACCAAGAAATAAAAATAATAACTAATTAACTCAAAAAGATAGGATCATTCATCATTCTTGTTTTGTATCTATAATATCAAAATTTTAAGCAACATCCTCAAAAAGTAGAATACATACGAAGATGCATTTCAAAACAACTTGCAACAAACATGGGTTATCTTCAAAATGAATATTCTCTTTCTTCTTAATACATCATCTTTAAGAAGAAGTTTCATTGTCATCCTACTCAATATAATAGAAGATTGTAAAATATTTAGTATCCAAATAACCAATATTAAAATTAGAATTGTGAAAATTTACATACCCATTTGTGAGCTTCCTGAGGTGGATGCTGCAAAAGTTTCTTGCACTAGATTATTGCCTCATTTCAGTACGTAATGAGTTTGAACTCACTCGAACTCCTCTTGAGATTAACTATTTGACTTAAATTACTTCCACAAACTCGTGCAATTATTTGAGTACTATGAGGGAAATATCGTGTAGGTGTGACACCAAAAAAAACCTTTGTCTAACTCTTGCTGTTGGTGTTAAGGTCCCATTTACCATACTGAACACCCTGTTACGTTAGCTCCTCACACATTCCCATTCTGGTGTAAGCTCATCCTTAAGCCAAAAGCTCCCAAGGATATATCTATGTTAAATAATAAATTTTTAGTTAATTTTTATTTTATAAACAAATATACATAATGAATTACACAAATAAAATATATAGCTAGACTAAAATTACCCATCACTGATTAGCTCTCTTCAGATGAACCGATGTGCCATCGTTTACGCAATCTGTTAACTCTCATCATATAAATCTATTCCTTGATAGCCATATCAACAAATTTCATCATTAGGCAATTAATTACTAAATCTAAACATACAACATGATTTATCAGTTAATTGAAAATGCATAGATAGCAAGAATTATCCCAAAAAAGAGGAAAAACAAGATAGCATCTGTGGCCATACAAGCATGGGACCCAAAGAGTCCAAAAAAGAGTAAAACACAAATAATAAAAAAAAATTAGACGAAAATAAAAATTCAAAAAAAAAAGAAAAAAGTGGGGTCAATAAAAAATGTAAACTAAGAATAAAGAAAAATCAAGCACGGCAGAGCTTCTTCATAACAATAATTACCCACAAACAGTCCAATAAGCATGATTCAACCCTCCAATTACCTTACCGTCAATTCAATTTCAAATGCCCTAAAACATTAAAATCCCTCGCATACTTTCTCAGCCTATATCCTGTAGCGGAGGTAACAGATTTCCACTGAGGAAACAAAAGAGATACAAAGTCCATCAACGAAGAATTGGCGTACAAACAATTTAACTTCAAATTAGAGCGCATGAGCCCAATAAAAAAAAATCAGGGCAGCAAAAAGTATAGCTGTCGACATATAAAACACCTTGCGAGTGAACCATGGTGAGTGGCATCCGACAATGATCCTGCGTCAAATATGCGTCCATACACCAGCAAAGTCCTCCGGCGTTAGCTTAGCGAACGGGTTAATAGTGAAAAGGTAAACTTGGTTCGTATAAAGAAGAAGACGCGAAGGATTTTACCGAGCGACGAGCAGCCGGGTTTTATCGGGCGCAGTAAGATATTGCTTCACGATCCACACGAGCTACACCGCAGCTGCTTGACTTCTCTTGATGCCTTGGATGCCTGTCACGGCGCTTTTAACTCCGAATGGAAAGTCGAAAACTCAGACGAACGTGGGAGCAGGGCTAGTGGAGGGATCACATTTCGCAAGGGAGCTGGGCACGATAGAGAATAAAAATCACAAACGCCTTAATTATAATTAGTATTGTGACGAGTAGCGGTTCTCAAACCGCTGTTATATATTATTACCATTAATAATTTCTTAGAGCACGGTTTTTCACCACTGCTTATATTATTTGTAGTGGCGGTTGCAAACTGCTCTTAAATGCTGCGCGAAAACCTCATTTTTAGTAGTTGATTCGCTACCAGAGCCTGTAAGAGTTATCATCAACTGAAAATCGGCCTCAAGATGCCTCAACTCATGAGTTTCCAGGACTCATAAAGATAGTGACGGTGGTCATCATTTGAACACGACAACCGAAAGACCCGTCCACACGAGACCCGTACCCGTGAAAATATTGCCGGTGTTGAACCTCGAACCCGATTTCAAACGGGTCAGGAGTTCGGGTTCCGCC